GGGGGGGGGGGGGGGATTATTTTCGTGAACAAAGCCCACTATACTTTTTGCTAGAAGACAGAATCGAAATTTCCCTCCCGCGGGGGGGGGGGCTTGTGTCCGGGTTTATTTTTCAGGTAGACCCTTGGTGTGTCTTTCATATTAGCATCGACCGCGCTAACCGGCTAGCCAATGAAAAGACGCCAGTTTCAGTGCGGTTGAAAACATAATATACCTCTAAATGCCATGAAGAGGGACCCCGTGAGCGGGCGGCATGGGGGAGGCTGTGTGTGTGTTTGTGTGCATGTTTTTTTACGTCATGACTTGTTCCGCCCTGCCTTCACGTGCCCTTGCCATAACACGTATTTGAACCTCCCATCTGCCCGGTCAAAAATAGCCCCTGTCTGTGATGCTGCGCCGTTTTATTGAGGGGCCCGATTACTCCGTACGTTATTATGTCTCTGCTTCGTGCTAAATGTGATCATACCCCCTTTCCTGTCCATCCCGATGTATGTTTGTTTTCCCCAATACCATGGAAGGATGCGGAAAGCCGGGAGCGAAGGAAAAGGACGGCAAACCGAGCAGCCGAGCATGCGCAAGGACTATGTTCGGGAAATGGGGGGAGTCGATACGGCCGACCAACAGAACGGATCGCACACACACGACCACAAGTCGTACAACAATCACTGGCGACGCGTCATGGAGGCTAAGATAGAGCAGGCCTTGACCAAGGCTTATCAGATTTTCAAGAAGTGGGTTCGCATGTTGCACAAGGAGGCGGGGGGCAGCCTGGTGATAGCGCGGAAGAATGCCTCGATTGACAGGGTACAAGAGTTGGAGGGTGCTGTGTCGGAGTTGAACAGGCTGGCGAAAGTAGAGCGGGCTGTTTGGGACGAGGCGATGGCGACATTTCTGATGGCCAGGTGTACCGAGGGTAACGTTGGCAAGGGCGGGAAGAAACGGAGACGGCGTACGTCGCGCGGGCCTGTGTGGGGTAGCGTCAAGCTAAAGAATGCCAGGGGCTGCATGAACCCTACATGCGATAAGAGGTCGACAAGCGGCTGCATTTGCACAAAGCACTGTACGAATGGGAGTGAGTCAGGGGTGTTGATGTGCAAGGAGTGCTACTTGGACGACCATGCTCACAGCGAGGCGGCCCGTGCCCACTGGGAAGGCGTAGACGGTACGCGTACTAGAAATACTTTTTTGTGGATTAGGTAAGATTCCTTGCGTCTGCGCACTTTCTTCGTGCGCCCCCTATTTTTACTGATTCATGTTGGCATTCGTGACTTTGTTGGTGTCGGACCACTCCAGTAGAAGAGCAAAAATATATACTTCCAAGGTACGTATAATTGTTACCCTGTCCTGTCGTCGCTATACAACACGAAGTTTGGTAGCGGTGCAAGACACTGCGAGGTCAGCGGTTGCGTAATCCGTTCCGAGAATGAATACGAAAAATACACCCGGAATACGGTTCCCCACGCTTTCCTGGCTTCTGTCAGGCTGTTAGCATAGCAATCAGGGATGCCTCTCGAAAGCCCAAAAGACACATCGCGGGCACCCCCTGCATGTGGCGTTTTCCCCGAGGTGTCGCGTGTTGCACAAACTGATAAAATTCATCGGTTTTCTTCATGTCTCTCCACTCTGTCACAAAAAGCAAGAAAACAACTCCCCTTGTCGACGTCCGTTTTCGCCCCACGTACGCACGCATCGCAGCCCTTCATTATTTGATTGTCATGCCACGGCAGTATCGCAACGCGTCCCCTCCTCTTCCACCCCAGTTCGCTACAATAACCGAAACCATTCTAAATTCTACGGCGGCGATGCATGCAGCGCGTTGACGACGGGCTCCGGCAGGGGGGCATCGCCGGGCCAAATTGCACGACACGCCTGCGTGAAGCACTCCTTCCGTGCTAGCTGGACCCCGCGCCCTCTGGCGTTCAGGGCAACGCCGGTTTCGTAGCACGCCTGCCAACACGAAAACAGCGACACACCGGCACAGCACCGAAAACATATTTCAACAGGCTACCCTCGGGGGTACAAATCGACAATTTCGAATTGTATATGCGCCGGCGGTTGCGACTCGGGCGACTTGGGGAGAGGGCTCTCTGACAACCTGACCGCATGTCGTTCGGCCGAGAATCAATTCATCTTCGACGGGGCGATATTTTGTGGCGTTCTACAGCAGTACACACGGTAAAAAGGGGGGGAGGGAGGGGAGGGGGGGGGGGTGACGACGGACTCGTTACTACTCCTATGTACAGCAGTAATAATATCGATACAAATAATATACTCCCTTTGTAGAGAAAACAACCTGGTCTCACGGTACGAGACTACACACGAGATGGGGGTCGTCGGCTCTGTTGCTGTGCTATCTAGACCGCAAACCGAAACATTGTGTACTATGTACGTCCGTTCTAACAATGTTGTTGTACATCATATGCATAACTGCAATGTACTGCTGTAGAGGACTGCTGCATAGTCTTGTAGATTACTGCTGTATGTAGCCTACAGCAGCAGTGGTAGTAGGTGGATTTGTCAAAATAGCCCAATTGTTGCCGGGGTTCACCTTGCACGTACAACTGTAGGAAACATACATGAACCCAAACAAAACCCGATGTAATGTAGAGCAGCACGACAGCAGGCGATCGCAGGGGACCTCTAGCTTGTTCAGACACAGAAGGCCCGCAAGTTCAACCTGGGAAAAGGGCTTGCATGAGCAGCAGCAGCAGCAAAACTAACCTGGTTCCGAAGATTCTTGGACGTTGTTGTTTCGCCCCCCGCACGCGCATCGGCGGCGTCGAGGTCAACGTGGGCGATGTGGTGGGCATGGTGACGGCCGCACAACCCAGGATGCGCCCGTGCCGCGGCTTGCCTGTCCTTGACATCCTTTGTCTCGGGCAAGGGTCCGGGGATCTCGTTCCCATGTGGGCAAAAACGGCGCCCAACTGCTTTTGCGGCAGCCTCCGTGGCGCCACGATACATTTCCGGGGTCGCGGCTGCGATAGACAGCCGCGCCTCGGAAATTGCATCAGGGTTGTCCGTCGCATGGTATTCGCTAGCCATTGCCTCCCAATACGCTATAACCTGCCCCTCATCCATTGTGTGTGCCATGCTGGTGTCTCGTGTCTCAGTGTGTGGAACAAGCGGACCCAGCAG